CCCACAAGAGTGCGCCGCAAGAGTGCCCTACAAGAGTGTCCCACCAGAGTGTCCTACAAGAGTGTCACACAAGAGTGTCACACAAGAGTGTCCTACAAGAGTGTCCCACAAGAGTGTCCTACAAGAGTGTCCTACAAGAGTGTCCCAACAAGATTGTCCCACGGTGTCTGTCCTACAAGAGTGTCTCACAAGAGTGTCCCACAAGAATGTCCTGCAAGAGTGCCCTATAAGAGTGACCCACAAGAGTGTCCTATAAGATGCCCCACAAGAGTGTCCTACAAGAGTGTCCCACAAGAGTTTCCTAAAAGAGTGTCCCACAAGAGTCTCCCACAAGAGTGTCCCACAAGAGCGCACTACAAGAGTGTCCCACAACACTGTCCTACAAGAGTGTCCTACAAGAGTGTCCCACAAGAGTTTCCTACAGGAGTGTCCCACAAGAGTGTCCCACAAGAGTGTCCCGCAAGAGTGCCCTACAAGAGTGTCCCACGAGAGTGTCCTGCAAGAGTGTCCCACAAGGCTTTCCTACAAGAGTGCCCCACAACAGTTTCCTACAAGAGTGTCCCACAAGAGTGTCCCACAAGAGTTTCCCACAAGAGTGTCCTACAAGAGTGTCCCACAAGAGTGTCCTACAAGAGTGTCCCACAAGAGTGTCCCACAAGAGTGTCCCACAAGAGTGTCCTACAAGAGTGTCCCGCAAGAGTGTCCTACAAAAGGTCCCATAAGAGCCATAAGAGTGTCCTACAAGAGTGTCCTATAAGAGTGTCCCACAAGAGTGTCCTACAAGAGTGTCACACAAGAGTGTCCCACGAGAGTTTCCTGTAAGAGTGTTCCACAAGAGTTTCCTACAAGAGTGACCCACGAGAGTGTCCTGCCAGAGAGTGCTACAAGAGTGTCCTATAAGAGTGTCCCACAAGAGTGTCCTATAAGAGTGTCCCACAAGAGTGTCCTATAAGAGTGTCCCACAAGAGTTTCCTACAAGAGTGTCACACAAGAGTGTCCCACAAGAGTGTCCTACAAGAGTGTCCTACAAGAGTGTCCCACAAGAGGGTCCCACAAGAGTGTCCTGTAAGAGTGACCCACAATAGTGTCCTACAAAAGTGTTTCACAAGAGTGTCCTCCAAGAATGTCCGACAAGAGTGTCCCATAAGAGTGTCCACAAGAGTATCCTATAAGAGTGTCCCGCACGGAGTGATTTGTGGTATCAAGGGTATCCCGCAAGAGTTTCCTACAAGAGTGACCCACAAGAGTGTCGTGTAAGACTGACCCACAAGAGTGTCCCAGAAGAGTGTTCCACAAAAGTGTCCTACAAGAGTGTCATTTGGACATATGTAGCTTTTCGATCGTGTTTGCATTCGGGTTCGTGGGCTCCATCTTGTTCCATGTAGTTGAGTGCCAGAAAGGTCAGGCTGGGCTGAGCTTCACGATGCCAGAGCAGGGAGGAATTGCTGGGGCATGACCATGCATCACTTCGATCAAGGGATGTGTAAAGGATTGCAGATCCCGTGACTAAACATTAAAGTGGGACATGTCACGAGATTTGAGGACTTCATTTTTGACTTGGCCAGTTAAGAAAAGCCGTATTTACAATGTGTGCAGAAGTCAGAACAAGCTCATGGCAGACCACTTGGCAGAGTAGCAAAATCCAAAGACTATCTCATGCTGCAGCAAACCTCTTCACGGGGTGCTTGCACTAGACAAAAGAAAGCGAACCGAGAGAAATTGCGTCGTAGTATTGATCCCACCGCACTTGTTGTTCAGAGTCGGGAATGAGCTTGACTCACACCTGAGCATTCAAAACTGCAAACTGTTCTCCCATGCATATGCTCAAGCCTGGAATTAAGAAACTGAATGCAGTGCAGCGGCCATGTTCACGAGGTGTTTTGTTTCCAGTCCCATGCGCAGATGGAGCCGAAGGTGAACTTGAAGCAGGTGAACAGGGCAGTGGCTGCGTGCAGCAACACAGAAGATTGGAAAGCTGCGTTGTGCCTGATGCACAAGCTGTCAGGTCTTCAGTTGCAGGCAGATGAGTTTACATATAGAGCAACAATCCAAGCATGTGGATCCAAAGCGTGGGAAACATCACTTCTCCTTTTGAAAGAGAGGCTTGATTGAATCAAGTGTTGTGTTTACGTGAATTAAATGTATGCACAACGACTGTCCATGTTTGATGCCTGCCATATCATAGTGTCTCTCTATGTTTGCCAGGAAGGCTTGAGACGAACATGTAAGCATAAAAGAATCGACCAAGGGTCAAACACACTTGGTAATTACTAGGTTGGAGGCCATTGCTACTACGTTGGAGGCCATCGTTGTTAGGTTGGAGGCCATCGCTCTGAGGGAGGAGGCCATCGCTACAGTCAGTCTCCCTTTGGCCACCCATTGTGCCTGTCCAGTTCCAGCAGTTCCCGCTGTCATCACACCCTCTCAGAAGACCAAGATACACCATGAACCGAACGGATAAATCAAATTACATGGACACACGTCACGTGATATCATGTGCAGACCAGCCCCAGGTGAAGCAGACAACTAAACTTGCTGTTGAATTTAAGTTCCCTAAAAATCTAGGACCAGACCATTGGTGCGAGCGCTATCCTGCGTCCATATGTAGTAGCATCCAGTAGCTACGTACGCGAACTTCTCCCTTGATTAAGTAGGCGCCTACTCAATTGGGTAAGGAGGCAGGGCCACGGGCTGAAAAAAATAATCAGTTAGCCTTCTATTAGAAACAAGAAGCTACTAGGAACAAGTGCATCGCTAGTAATAACAAGTGCCTTACCAGTAGTAACAAGAAGCTACTAGGAACAAGAAGCTGCTTTCTCGGGCTTTGGAGCACCACCCAAGGACATGCATGAGCTTCATGCCCAACAAGTTCATCTTCAGCGCTTGCATCTCCTGTGCGGCAAAAGCGGGTCAATGGCACATCGCTTTGTCGCTTTTGAACGACATGCAACAACAGGAGGTGAAGGCAGATAACATTTGTTTTAATTCTGTACTCAGCGCATTTCAGAAGAAGGAGTGGCTGAAGGCTATCGAGCTCGCCAACAGCATTTCAAAGCAGACATTGCGACGCTCTGCTTCTCGTAGGCGTCCCCCTTGAACTGCTTTGCCGGCTTTACCCCATGTTTGATGAATGAGGGGTGCGTAATTGTAGTGCTCACTCATGCTGCTGACAAGTAAGAAAGGCCTAGGTAAAGAAGCAGCTGCTGCATTCACAGTTTTGCTGGTTTGCGTGGAGTTAATAAGAATGTCACTCCTTTAGTGGTTTCCCCCGTGTCGAATCGTTGCTTCTTGCATGTGAGGACTGGATGCGTTCAGCTTTAGTACTCTCTTGTCTGTTCCAAGCTGGCCCCGTGCAATGGCAAGACTGCAAAGCATGGAGACCTCATACATTGCACCGGACCTGTTCTGCTTTTCCTCTCTTTTGACCTCAAGAGATTCACCATGGCAGCAGGTCTTGAAAGGTTTGGCACGTGTGGCTTTCTTGAGACTACAGCCAAATCGAGTACTCTACAACTCCGCAGCAGGATCAAGCAAATGGCAGACAATCCTCGCCTGGCCTGTAAGGACTATGAGGACTATGACACCTGCAATTCAGGCTTTCACAGGCAAATGGAGACACTGCGTCGACCTGTTCCAAAGAACCATTATTTTGGATGTGTTTGGGACAAGTACCCTGATGGAACGATTGCGGAAGTTCAGACTCTGGGAGCTGGCAGTCTCGCAGTTGGACCGGGTAATGCACTTGGGCTTGCAACCCGACCACCATGTTTATCATGCGGCGGTGATTTCTTTGAAGGACAGCTGGTCGGCTACAGTCCAGACTCTTTGGATATATTAATACGATATGTGATATGTGTGTCTCCATTTGCTTCCTCAATTGTTCAGGAGTTTGGAACCTGGACCTTCTCCTTGTTGATGTTCAGCTTGATGACACAACGGCGAATCGACCACGACAACTTTAGCTATTCTGCAGTGCAATCCGACGAGTGTTGGCCACTAGCATCAGCACTGATGCAGGACAAGCATGTGGCGGTCAAAGGGACTAAGTGAGACATTGAAATGGAAGGGTCAAAGATTTGGAAAGGTCAAGGTAAGGGAACATTGGGATGTTGATATATATATATATCATTATATATCAACAGTCAAGGGCATGTTTGATTCAAGCATTCATTAATTCATTCATTCGTTCATTCATGCATTCATTCATTTGTTCATTCATACATACGTACAGGGGAAGAGAGAGGGAGAGAGAGAGAGAGAGTTATCAAAGCAGCTTTAGCTGAGGAGATGAGCCATGACATCACGTTGATTAGATAGTTACAGTAGAACCCTTCAAATGCTTCGAAAGCCAACAGCAAAACTGGTGGTCACAGATTGCGATAGCTGGGTTTGCCACCTTGCCAACTCAATTGGGTCCTAACTTTTTTTTTGTTGGCATTCTCTTCTGGCCGTTCCTGGACTATGATCAAAATGACACCACAGGCATCTACAAGCCTCGCAAGTGAGCGCCAAGCCCACGAGCATTTTGTGTGAGGATGATAAAAGTCCGAATAGCAAAGCATGGAAACAATAGAAAAAGTTAGACATTATGTTCCTTCCAATGAGCATGAGCTGTTTCTTTTTAAGGAAGCACTCCTGCTCATGTTTTACGATCTGTGGCATTCCCTTGCAGCTCCCATGTTGAGTCTTCTGGACTCTTTCATCCCTTCCTGTTTCCAGGAAATGCATCAACGCTCTCTGGAGCTGACGATTTGGAACGTGCCCCTCGGACCGGCCCCTTGGGTCAATGCTTTGGAGCTTCTCCGGATCATGACTATGACATTACTAGGCACTGTGACTGCGGTGACGGTCGAATGTTCAGAGATGCCGCAATGTAGCGCAGTGCTCATGAGTATTCCAAGGAAGTTTAACTCAGTCTCACCCTTTGCGTGCCCATGTTACATGAGTGATGTGTTTTTATGCCTTGCACTTCTATTTGGATGTGTGTTTAGCTTGCACATGCCATATCACCGGTGTGCAAAGAGCGTGTTTTTTTCGACTGGCATAGAGAGAGAGAGAGAGAACGCGCACGACATCTTAAGCATGGCAGCGCTCAAACGAATACAATGAGCAAAGTTTTGTTTGGCATGTTTTGTAGAAGACAAATATGCTCATGGATGGATGACAAAATGGATCCCAGCAACCTGACCTGCCAGATGTGGATGCAGCTTCCTTCAACGCTGCTTCTCGGCACGCATTAGAACTGTTCCATTCGTTGTTGCCAACGTGAGATGCATCAAACATGCTCCCTGAGTGTCAGGCCATTACTGGTTGTGGTGATTGGCAAATGGCCCTCGAACTTCTAGCTCAAATGGACTGCAGGGCAGTGCAAAAAGATGCTTTTGGATACAGTGCGATCATAAGAGCATCGGTAAAAAGATCTGAGTGGCTCCGGGCCTTACACTTCTTAACATCCATGGAGCAGCTTGCCATCAAAGACCCCTCCAGCGTAGCCTTCAATGCAGCACTCAGCGCCGATTTTTTGGGCGACTGGCGGAAGACCCTCGATATGCTGCTGACCGGCAGAGCACGTCGGACGCAGATCACCGAGATCACCTTTAGCACAGCTATTGCGGCATGCGAGAATGGCATGCAGCAGCAACTGGCTTTATCTTTGCTGTGGGACGCAGAGGCACGGTACACAGTCATGAAAATGAGGTTGCCCTCATGTCATGCTGAGGGTGAGTGTATAGAAGCAAGAGTGATGGTGATTGAGTTGTTCCGGTTGTTGAACCCAAAGAAACCAATGCTAAACGCAAGATTGCCTTCTGCAGGAAGCTGGAGTGCTGCCAGTGGCTTCATTTCTTGTTGCATGTGGCCGTGCGAGTGTCCGTGATCCAGTGGCAATCCACTCAGCTTTGACGGAGGCATCAATGGCAACGAGAGACGCACGACCGACGCCAGCTGAAATTGCCCAGTTCTGGCGCTCGTGTGCCCTTCTAGGTGCCTGCAGCTCCGAATTCCACTGGAAGACTCCCGGCGGCACAATGCGGCACACCTAGCTCGGTTTCAAGATGTGCGCTTGCAACACCTCACAACACCATACTTAGCTTCAAACTTGAACTGTTTGTGGAATTCATTAAACTAGAGTCCACTGGCTCCTGGTGGAATGCTATTTGAGGCTCAAAGAGCATATGCAGCCACTCGAAGCTTTCAAACTGGAGGAGCTTGTGCTAGTGGCCTGGGGGGGCAGCTGCATTCCCAACGCCTAGTGGCCTGCAAATACTGGAATCTTGGCCTCAGATGGCCTCAGTGTACCTTCAACTTGGAAGCCTTTTGAATTGTTGATTGCAGAAAGCCTTGATGGTGGGTCACGCGAGCCTTTCAAAAAATATCGGCTCGCATCAGGAACTCCTTCAGAAGGAACTAGTCTTGCGCTTGCAGCTGCCGTCCGAGAAAAGACGGCAAATCTTATGGAGGCAGAACATGTTAGGACTCTTGGCCTGCCAATGGTTGTTTCCTTTCCGTCAAAAAGAGCAGGAGATCTTTGTGCAACGAATGGTCATATTTTTGGTGCCAAGAGGTTGGTCGCCCTAACAGTTAGTGGCACTAAAAACCCTGATGTGGCAAGGACTCTTGCAAGCCTGCAGCTTTCTGGGCGTACTCAGTGCGAATTGCCTGCAAGACGTTGACCTTGCTCTACGGAGCCTGGGACGAAGCCTCGACGCTATCGACAGTCGAACAGTTCCATCTCCCATTTCACCGCCTTCGGACCTTTCAGAAGATGGAACAACTGGGAGACCGGATCGGACCGGGCGAGGACCGAGCGTACCTTTGGTGCAAATGGACTTAGAGGATCGAATGGTTCTATTGAAGCCAGTCGATTGGGAAGTCCATGATGAGAACATGGAGCATTTGGGCTGCAAGAGTGGTGCAGTCGTAAGAAATAGAAGATGATGTCCATCGCAATCCAGGAATTCATAAGAACCCAAGTTTTGTTTCTTTTGCATGTACTGGTGTCCTTGCTACTAATCATACTAATCGCCCCCCCTTACCCAGCTTCTAAGCTACTAAGCTTACCCGCCCAAATATGGGGACACGGCCTCACTTCTGGATAGGCAGCAGGTGGTTGGCTTCTTGCAGAGCTCCGGATTCTCATTACCAATCCTCAAGGACAAAGACTTCGGCCAAGGTTTGGGTTAGATTGAGTTTGACGCCAAAAATCTATGAACATCTGAAATCATTAGAATGAGCTAGACTAGGTCAACAGTCAAGTTATGGTGGAGGCCATCGCTATTAGGTTGGAGGAGTTGGTTAATATAAGTCCCGTATCAAGTTAGTCACTGTAGGTGTGGATTCCTTAGACCCCCTTGATGGGTCAGGCTTTTTGCATCGATTGGATGTGCCAAGCTCCGGGCTGCTTTTGCTGGTGTCGGCCTCAAGACTAGGACCAGGAAAGAGACAACTCCAGATGGAGATTCAATATATCAAGACAAGGCAGAGATGGAATCAAGACTGGTAGGTCTTGTCTTTTCGAGGCCAAGACCTACGAAGCTCATTGCGATCTATCTGTTCAGCTGGCATCTGGCCAAATTCAGCGTGACTATTCGGTCCTGTCTCATGGGTGGGCTGTGCGCACCGAGATTCGAGCACAAGTCTATTGGAGGCCTCGGCGTGGTGTCTATTGGTTTCGACTGCCCAGTGGTTCCAAGCCATACACTTGAACACTCTTGAACCGCTTGAACTTTCAAGACTTGAGCATATGGAATGTATATATGCTTGTCTAACAAGGTCTAGTGCTTTCTTGTAGTGTCTTTTGATGTCTTTTGGTTTGGAGCTTAACATTGTTTGGACCCCGATGCCAAATCCCGATGCCAGACAAACCCCGATGCCAAATCCTTGAACTGCAAGTAGACAACCGTCGTGGCTTCAGGCGGGCACCGGTGACGCAATCCAGCGGGCAAGGCAAGCCCGCTCTCACCAAGGCAGACGGGCTCGAGTACAAATGCTGAAACTGAATCTCTCTATATATATACACTGTAATATGAACTATATGAAGATCATGTGAACCAACCAAAGATACGGGCTGACAGGACGAGTTTGTTTCAAAGTTACCGCAACAGATGCCGAGAAGGAACAACGCTGCGTGTCTCTCCTTCGTCAGAGTCCTTTAAAGAAATGCGGCGAAGACACTCTTGTTGCCAAAGACATTGCCTCAGGTGAAGATACTGAATCATTATATTCTGCCAACTGCAGCAAGTTTGATGGCCATTCGCATCATTACTGGCCGCCAGCATCAGATACGCACGCACTGTGCGCATGTAGGTCACCCTTTGTTGACTGACGGTCACTTTGTCGAAATTCAAGCAATCAAGTACTATCAAGGGTATAACAGCTGCGTATAATTCAACTGTCCTGCAATCATTAGGAGCTCTAATTGTTGATTGTTTTTTGCATACCCATAATGTATATATATATATACATACACAACACAAATATATCCACCTACTGTACTCAACTGTTCAAATTCTTGTGGCATTCTTGTGTGAGACTTTCTGCAATACACTGGGATCCTTTATGGTTTCCTGAGGAAAATATTCGAGCACCGTCACCTGCATGAATGATCAACAATTGTCCAGCCACAACGCTCTCCATCGGCAGCGATTGGCTTTTCGTGATCTTTGTGGCAGAGTCCAAGAGGCCCATTCATTGGGAACAAAGGAATTGTGTTCACTGTTTCATGGACTGAACCAAAATGTACAACTCTTTGCCTCAATACTTGCCCACTTTGAAGTTGGGAGAATTGAGATGTGTGAGTTTCTATGGGTTTCGTTTAATCCTGCCTACGTTGTTTTTGCGCAAAATTTTCACCTGTACGATCATTTATTTAAGGATTGGCTCTGGGGCAGCGAGAGCCCATGATGGTCCCCAGTGTACGCAAATGGCTGTTGTTTTAGAGGAGAAACAGTTTTGTCTTGCAAGCCCTCTCTTCTCTCCTGCATGCCATCAAGTTTGTTTCTTCAGACCTTTTCAAACCTTGTCAGCCAACTCCAGGTCACAGCCCCTTTGAGTCCGGAGTTTGCGTCAGTGCTTGAGCAGCTGGTGCCCAAGTCCAAGGCCAGGTCTGAGTCTAGTAAGTCTAGTAGATTACCCAAATCCTTTGCTAGAAGGTATGTTAAAGGCCCAAGGACTTCAGCGTTTGAGAACAAGTCGTACCACCTACTGCAATTGTTTGTTCTTCCATACGCTTCTTTCGAAAGTGCTTTGGGCTCCTTGCTCAGTGTGTTGTTGCCGTGAGGCGAATGTGCAGATGTGAAACCATCAACAAGTGTGAAAAAGAGGCAGCCGCAATTGGCCGGAGCTCGAGATAAGAGTAGAACAGTAGAACCAAGTGTCCCCAGCGGGAACCAGCTGTCCCTAGAATGCTTTAAATCAACTGAGCAACGTCATAAACCTCTATGAGAGAATTTAGCTAGGACTTAAGATTATAAATCTTTGCGAAAGGAAAACTGCAGTTGGAGAAAGCTTGGCGAAAGGTTTGGAGAAAGGCTCTGATTTTTTGATGAATGGATTTTGTTGCGAAAGGGTTGGCGAAGGAGGTTTCCAGTACAAAGCATGTCATCTAAATGGTTGTTCTAAAGTCCCAAAGATTCCTGATAACCAGGCGAAAGGTTCGCGAAGATACGGCAAAAGCAGTGGTTGCAGATTGGAAATGATGTCCCTTTGCTGATACTTTGCTTAGGTGTAATTAAGTAGCAGAAACTCGGCGAAAGGGCTAGCGAAAGAGGTTTTTGGGTGAAGTGGGTCGGCGAAAGCAAAACATGGAGCCGCGAAAGCGTTGCGAAGGGATTGGCGAGTGGTTTTAATATTTCATAAAAGCTCCGGATGGTTTTTGACACCGTTCAACTATGCTGGCTTTGTAGAAGATATACTGGTTGCTGCGGGGAAGCCTGCAGTAACTTTGAAAAGCCAGTAGATGCTGACTCTTGGGGTTGCAGTGCATGGAATCCTGAAGTTCTCGACTACCTAGAAGAACCGGCCACGGCTACTAATCCAGAATTATCCAGAATTGCTGATTTGGTGGACAAAACACCATTTGAGCAAACGATTCCAGGAGGAACGGACCCAACGGAATACACTTGTTTGTGCAAGGGAGAGGCTCCGCTCATTGATCCAACCAAAATGTTGCTTGTGGACTTGTGGATGTCCTTTTGCATTGAATGTTATCTCGTTGAGTTTGCTTGCCGCCAATGACTAATCTCAAGAGGATGGACGGTCTTGGGCCATTCCCAGCAAAACATCCAGAAGGCATTGCAAGTGCCAGGGTTTTGGTGCCTTGGATCCACGATCCCTTCTGACTGCAGTGCCATTGTGGTAGGGAATTCAGAGTATTCCTCAGGCTGAATGCCTTTACAGAGTCTTTGTTTTCCGAGCCTCCATGTGACGCTCCACGCGCACATCATATCACTGACACGATCCTGAAGGTGCAGCATATTGCAGCGCATGATCAGCCCATAAAAGGTTATTGCAGACTGCAGAGATTTGAGCATTCATGTCAGCCCTACTTGGCATAGGCATAAGCCTTGTGTGTAGAATTTCTACTAAAACTCCCTTAAGTAATTGCCAGACAGATCAAAATGGCCAGCACGTAACACAAGATGGACACCGTGAGCCATGGGACGGATGTTTTTCTAATTACATTTGCGCTTTCTAGTAACAAGTGCATCGCTTCTAGTAACAAGTGCCTTACTAGTAGTAACAATGTTTGCTACTAGGAACAAGTGCATCGCTTCTAATTTACTTATTGTTTCTAATAGTATTTTGTTACTAGTAGCGATGCCCTTTGCTCCTAGTAGTAAGACCAAGGAGCCCCTAGTAGCGTTTTCCTAGAACCGTTCCCCTTTCCTCGCTTGAGCCATGGGACGGATGTTTCTTGCCTCGGCTACCCTGCTTTTCCGCTTTTCGAGCAGTCTCCACCCGCCACCAGCTGTTTGTTGTGAAGGTGAAGTTGCTCCAGTGACCTGGGCAGTTAATGGATCTTCCCCAGGCGTTTGGTGTTCTCAAATGCTTTACAGTGCTGAGAACTACATGGGCTGTGCAGCTTTGCTCTCCTGCGAGCGTCGTGGACAAGAAATTTGGCTCACGTGCCCTGATGGCTACGAGCCGGATTGTGTTACAGGCTGTGTGCCGTTTGAGAAAGATTGTCCAGAGAACGATGTGGATCTCATCTCTTGGGTACGGAATCATGGCGGTTTTGTTGACGAGCGTTTGGTCATCAGAGATGGAGACCATGGCCGAGGTCTATTTGCCAAGGATGGGGCTGGGAGTTTGTTGAAGACTCAAAACCAACATGCCTTAGGAGGGCAAAGCCCAATGCTTCAAAGTTTGTAATTAGATCTTTGTTCAGGCTTGCCTATGCCGACCAGTGAAATGTCCGAATCACTGACAGATCAATGCACTTTGTACCAGTTAAACTGTTGCCTTCAGTACTGGTTGCTTCAGAAGTGCTTCGAAACGCAGGAAAACATCGCAACAACTGATTTATTGGTGTCCTTGCCCTTGGAGCTGATCATTACAGACAAATCTTCACCATGCGCTGCCGTCCGACAGCTGCGGAATGAGTTACAGCGAGGTAAGTGTTCCTTTTACTGGCCATATTTGAAGACATTGCATGGCGCGCACATTTCGGTGCCAGATGTGTGGTCCTTTGAGGAACGATCTTTGTTGGATGGATTGCCAACACCACGGGGTGGCTGGCAAAGTTATTCAGCCAAATATTTCACTGATTGCCTTGACACAAACGCTGATGCCTTGACCTTGCACGCTTTGATGCTCTACCATACGCGTGCTGGGCCTTTTGGTCGCTTGGCTTTTAGAGGAATCTGAAGGGACCACCTGTCCATGTACAAGCCAAGAAACCCAGATGCCAGAAATGCCGCACAGGGCAGAATGAAATATAGATCAAACTTAGTTGACACAACATCTAACTCTCCGGCATGTTGATTCGAGAGCGAGGGAAGCCTCCAGAGTTGTGACTCTCAATGTGTGTGTGCTCGTGGGAACGGCCGTATACTTTCATTCGGGTCCTAGTAGCGTCCTTGTTCCTAGTAGCGATGCCAGGAGCCCCTAGTAGCGTTCTTGCTCCTGGTAGTAAGGCCAGGAGCCCCTAGTAGCTTTTTGCTCCTGGATGATGGCCCAAGGCATGAGCCCTATTTTTGATATCATGAATCATGGCCTCGTGGCTGCAACAAGACAAGGTGTAACAAGATATGGGTAGCATCAGCTTGCACGTGGATGTTTTGTGACACATGAGAGGGGGCCAATAATAATGCAAAGTTTAAAAAAGCAGGTGGATATACAATAGGTTGGAGGCCATCACTACTAGGGTGGAGGCCATCGCTATTAGGTTGGAGGCCATAGCTATTAGGTGCTATTAGTAGCAGGTTCACTGAGTCCACTGCTGGAATTGTACCAGCGTGTACACCAACACACTCTCTACCAGGTCATGCGGATCTCCTGTGGACCCTTTGTGGGGCTGAAGGTTAGTTCAAACGGTGCTTTCATGTTCTTCCGATTTACAACGACTAATATAGGCGACAGCGGCTTGAAGTTGCACGCACAACCTGTTGATCTCAAGTGGCATGGATCAAGACCCGTTGTGCCGATTACAAGCTAAATTGATGGGTGAGGGGTGTTGGCTCAAGCCCCTGTGTTGAAGCATACGTAATACATCGCAATATAGGCCACTAAATGGGTCAGAGGGCCATACTAAATAGAGAGCTGTTCAGCATTTCTGATCATTTGCAGCGTTTGTGTCCATTGCTTTCAAAGGTTTCACACCTTTGATGTGAGGTTACAATGTTACGTGGCATGGCTTTGACGCAGAGGATGGACATAAAGGCACATCTCAAGAACTCTCGCATGCCGTTCTGCTTTTGCTCGAGGTTTTGCCGTGTGATTTCCCGCCATTGGCTCTTGGAATGCCAGGAAGCTTTTGGTTCCGCGCTGCTTCTGAAATCAAAGCAGGGGGTGAACTACTGAATTCCATGGTGAATCTTGGCTCCAAAGAAGCTGATCAGCGCCAAGGACAATTGAGGGATACTGAGGGTGTTGTGGACATATCGCATCGCTGGTTGGGAAAGCCTGATCAGGAACGGCGTTGCTTTTCGCCCAACTATTGTGCCTTTGCAAAATTGGAGAGAAGAGCAGGAGAGATGCAGCCAGACACGTTTCCAGACTAAGCAGCCACACTGTGTGCTCCAAAGATAGGGCTGTGAAACCACTGAGTCCTTCCAGATTTCTCCCAAAGCTGCAACATCTATGGAGATGTGCCACACTGTCTAAGAAGCTTTGCTGGTGCTGAGGCACCAGGTATGCACTCGGAAGATTTTGATGGTGCACCTGAAATCTTCGGGAGCCTTTGCTAGTCAATGTTTGATTGCTACGAGGTTGCTACGAGGTCATGCAGTTGAAGTCCAGAAGCCGTCTGACTTGTCAATTTCTGCTTTCATTCCGTGAAGAAACTTCACCCCGAAAGTTTCTGACCCACGGACACCAAGATTCTTGTTAGTAGCGATGCCCTTTGCTCCTAGTAGTAAGGCACTTGTTTCTACTAGCTTCTTGTTACTACTAGTAAGGCACTTGTCACTAGAAGCGATGCACTTGTTACTAGTAGCGAACATTGCTCCTAGTAGTATGGCCAGGAGCCCCTAGAAGCGTCCTTACTCCTAGTACCTAGTAGCGATGGCAGGAACCCCTAGCAGCTTCTTGTTCCTAGTAGCATCCTACTTTCCAGGATGTTCCGTTAGAGATGTCACGTTAGGAACTACCGCTGAGACCAGGAACTACGGCTTCCTCGAGTCACCTCCAGTGATGTGGTGGTTCCAGGGTGTCGATGAGCGACACGCGTGGATTGTGGATGCAGAAGGCAAGAACTGGCAAGAACTCCAATCCAACGAATCAGAAACAACAAGCGATGGCCTCCAAACTACTAGTTACAGTACTAGCGATGGCCTCCACCCTAGTAGCGATGGCCTCCAACCTAAGAGCGATGGAGCAAAAAAGCCCGAGTCTTTGTGATGAACAGCATTTGTCCCGCTTTGGGTTCACTTTAGAATGTCACTGGTATTCACGAGAGGAAGACTCTTTTGCGCCGCAGGCTCTGCAACCTGGTTTCAAACCACCGAACACGGCCCTGGAACAAACATCACAGCACTTCTGGTGGATGGGGCAGCAATGCTGGTGGATCTTGAGGAGTGCAAATAGTGCGGGATCAGCCTTTACAGGTTGCAGATTGAAGAGGCAATGTATGAACACATGTGATCTAGGATTGTGATGATTGAGTGATCAGTTCAGAGTGCTCGGAGGTGTTGTGAGTGTCCTGTCTTTTCCAGGGTTTTTCTATTCAGTACTTCCTGGTTTCTGCCGGGAAGATTGATTTGCTGAATCAAAGATGCCGCAAGGAGCGACAACAACGACTCGCACAGATTGTGCCAAAGAGGCTTGGTTTTTCAATGGCCCACCTGAGAACGTCAGGATTCAAAACCCTATGATGTTTGGTCTAATCAGGTTGGGTAGATGGCATCAAGCCTGACGTTGAAGCAGCTTTCATATGAAAATGCGCACTCCAGTGGTCTCCAGCTTGTTTGTGCGCATTCCAGTTGTGTTTTGCAGCAGCGACTTGTTGATCCTTGCACATGCAATGCCCGATTAGACAAGTGGCTTGAGGACCTCGGTTGCCAACCCCAACCATCGTGCACTACAGTATCGTGAGGACGGACTAGAGTGGGTGCAAGGTGCAATGCTTGTGGTAGGGGGGTATGCCTTTTTGAAGCATTGACCTAGGCCTTCAAAACTGCTTTGAAGACCGCAATGGAGGCTGCCCAAGTTGAGCTCAAGAGAAGCCGAGATGAGTTGTGAGGCCAAGTCAAAGGTGTGTGGCTGCTGTTTACTGTACGGAGCTGCTTGATAACTCCACGGGATGGTGATGAGCTGTGGGGTTCTTTGATGATCCGATGATTTGTGGCCTGATAGCTTTGGTTCGCACAAGCTAATGCTGACCTCGGTGTTGAGAAGTTTGGAACGATTTGCAGGCTTTTCAATTGTGCCACAGAGTCACTCACCCACCCTTTCACAAGTCAAAAGAATCGAAGTCTCAACCCTGTCTTTTTGCAACAAGAGGAAGCAAGATCTGGAAAGTACATCCCAGTAGTACTAAGCAATACAATAAGACAATTATGCTTGAATGCCTTGCTACGCAGAGTCCACCCTGTGTCGTTCATCATGAGTGGCGCTGGCTCGCGAAATTTGCTCCCTGACAGCAGTTAGGCCAAACAAAGCATTGCTCGGTGTTTCGTACCACTTGCATCCAATTCTATTGTCATTGTGCTCAGGCAGAGCTTGGTGCTCAGGCAGGAACTCTGCCGTCATTTCACCATCTCTATGATTGAAAGCGACAAGAAGCACTGCTATTGATTGCTATTGACAAACTTATAAACTCATGATTCATTTGTGGTTTCAAGATGTTTCAAGGGTTTGTTTGCATATTGATAGCTGCACACTGCAGTCCAAATGCTGTGCACGTGTAGAATTCGGAAGGCCGTTTCATGCGATCCAATTCAACACGTGTTTTTCGATGACCAGGTACAACTACTTCCTCAACACATTGGACAATTCTTTGGCCAATGAGGTGCCGTGATTGAAGCGAACTCTTCACTTCAATTCATGGTGCAAATCCAAATGGAAGGGTTCTTTGAGCATCTCTTTTGCGTTTTCAACCTCCCTTGTGGGCGGCTCAATTGAGGGTCCCCTGACTAAAGAACGTAAATTTTGGAATTGTCCACAACTACTTAAGAGCGGGACCAGTTTTGCACATTTTGAGGATTCACTATTTTGGGTTGGTTTCCAGGACACATCGATGGACACGCTGAAGTCTCACTACAATGAGCTTCTCAAATTTGTCAGAAACCTCAGCCCGGAGGAGACTGTCATTAGCATTGAAGTGTCAGATGAAGTGGCCGGTTATTTCGACCTTTTGCTGGCACGCTTTGCTGCACTCAAGGAATCATCTATCCAGCTGAAGCATGTTGACTGCACAACTGTATGTGTGTTTTTAAAATACAGACAGATCGCAGGAGAAGCAAGAAATCCAGCGTGAAAACCAGGACTGTCAGCGAAAACGGTCACTGTATTGTTCATGCCCACTTACTGGGAAACGAATTCCAGACAGACCAGACCACAGGATTGGGATGCCGAAAGACGAAGGCAACTGCAGGACTGAGTTCCGCCAAGGCATGCAATCCTTCTGATATTTTCTGGCCTTCTGATGCTTTCTGCCGCAGGAGCGCTGCAGAGTTAAAGGCATCATAGAAGAGTGATCCAATAGCCACAATGAAGGCTACGCTAATACATTGAGACCTGATGGACTCACTCCGTTCCACCAACATTGAAAAAATACTTTAAAATGGGACCAAAAGACATCCAAACAAATACAAAAATGCATGGCTACATAAAAATTGAAACAGAAATATGTTTATACGATATATATTATGATGATTTATGATGTATAAACATTTTTTTTTTGGTATTATTTTTAAAATCGTGCGTTAAAGGAAATTTAGGGTGTAAAATTTCTGTGTTACGGACTTTTAAAAGCTCTAGCTCTAGTTAGCTCTAATGATAATTAGCTTTTTCGTTCCATTTTATCTTTAATTAGTTTTAGTTGAGTTAGTTTTTATTTTAGTTTGCTTTAGTTTTTATTAAGTTTCTTTTAAAAGCTCTGATTTTAATTAGCTTTCTAATTTTATTTTAGTTCTAGTTAGCTTTTAGCTTTAGTTAGTTCAAATTTTAATTAATTGTAATTTTAGTTAGTGTTGATTTTAATTAGT